ATATTATATATATATATATATGTATCCGACCTTAATACACTTGTCGACAGAGGACTCACCATAGCCAGCTTCAGCCCGACGCCGCTGCGAATAGAAGCCACATTTGCCTCCATGCGGGAGGCTAGACTTCCGACGTTGGACTGGTCAAACCATGCCATTTCCTGCAACCACGCAGAGAAGACGAGAAAAGGCAACAAATACCACTTGAGCTGGGTTCACGGGGATAACAATGGATCTGACGAGAAAACAGCGCATATTTCGCCTCACCTGCCGGACGATCGCCTGGAAGTAGCGTTCTTTGAATGCCTTGGCTTGCCTATCGGCGACGATTTCAAAACATGCTGTCGCAATCGAACCGGCCACGAACGCTACCAACTGCGCAATCAACCACACATCGTGAGATCTTGACGACAAATCCTTCACAGCAGCTTCGGTATCTTACAAAGCTGAGATTTAAAACCCTCAACCATTAATCTCATTCTAACTGCTGCAAACGTCTGCGTGCAGAAGAATTGGTCTGACTGCTGGCTCAGATTGGTGCATGCGTATGTGTGCGGATGCGCGTGTGTGTTAGGATTAAAGAACAGAATCACTGCATGCGTGCCAAAGGAAGGATTCAAACTTACCCCTAACCAAGCCATGAAGTGGACATAGTACTCAGTGTCCAGGGTGGTGCTCATTTCTTCAAGGAGACCACCAAAAACAAGAAAGAAGACGGGCTAAGAACGCAAGGAAACAGAAACATTCAAATTTAGAACTAGAACGAGGAAAACCCTAAACCCCAAAGTCTACACTTACAGAGATAGGGACAGCAACTGTGCCCCTCGATGCTGGCGGTCGATAGGACGCACACATACGACCACTATAAAATAAGTAAATTTCACAGGCCATAATGTACAAGGAATCTTCCTAAGTGTCTCATTTGCTGGTATACGTATAAACTCACTAGCATTACTCCGAGGCCGACGCTTGCGATACACCCCCAAAAAAGCAGCTGAATGTCAACTTTGTCCGCATGCCTGCCGCAGTGTGTGCACAACGCAGCTCATGTACTAAGCCTAAAAAATTATATTAAACCTACCTAGAATAATATTCGCAATTATGTAAGGTCGGTATTTGTAGCATGGTGTCCGTAGGGAGTTGTGATGCTCCCACGATTATACAATTTTCTGCCGCTAACTTCTTTATGCAATATTTCCCGATTATCGAAGCCTTAGTAGCCCCAAACCCGAAGAGGTGCGCATAACTTTTCAAAAGTCAGTCAATATCCCTACGGTTTCATTTAAAATGCATGTTGGATGACACATTAGCTACAGATGAGATGCAAGGAACTAGTGTCACAAGGCCCCCACCTGAGAGCCGCAAACGATTCACTGGCAAAGATCTTCTGAAGAGGCTTCATGCCGGGCTTTTGCTGCGCAGACCACACAAATGAGGCATTGCAGCCGATCGGCATTATGACGGAGTTCACCAAGCCGGGCGAAATATAGTTTCGGTCCTCGGGTTATCCTACCTCAGCTTCTGCAGGTTTGCTCCTTCCCTCAGCTGTGTCATCTGATGCCTCCAATACATTTGGCACTTCTTGGTTTTTGACGCCCACGGATTCAACGCCTGTTGCCATCGCCGACTCCTTTGTTGGTGCGTCAATGGCGTCTGGGGCAAGGGGTCTCCCAGCAGCGCTTTCACCCACCTCTGTCGTCACCCCCGCCTCTTCGGCCCCTTGGCCAGGCCCAGATGCATTCATTTCTGCCTCTTTAGCGTCCGATTTCAAAGAAACATCTTCGCCCTGACCGGCGAAGCCGAACCCGGTGCCCCACAGGACCATGGTGCACCGGAGAGAGGACCCTAATTAGCACAGCAGGAGTATTCAATATTTTTAAAAATCTACTTTAAAACAGCATGTATGAACGATGTAAAACGAAATTGGATGCGATCGTGCTGGGCTCCCAGCAATGCATGCAGGTTCGCGGCGTCCACGCTCGCCTTGCCGGAGTGGACACACAGGGTGTCGCTGAGATTATCCCCCCTCACTGATACGAAATATAGAGTTAAATATGTCTCACTGATATTTATTTCAGATATGAGCAGCTACTGAACGGATTAAGGAGCCGACTGCAAACACTTACTGCGATCAGCCTACAGCCTCATGTTCCTCAAACATTGCTGTGTGCCATAGGCAAGTGTGCCTCTTTCTAAGTTGCATACAGGAGAGGGGTCTCCATTTTATTTTGTATAAAAATACGCAAGGTGAATCTTTTAATTTTGCAGAATCATCAAACTTTGCAGTTGTCTGGAGTAGCTGCAAGAAGCGAGCGTGTTCGGGAGTTTGCGTCACCAGGAGGCGACAAAGGCGGACAGAGGAGGCTTCTGTCTCTGCAGAAACTATTAAGAGGGCATGAAATTTTGTCGTATTAGAAAGAAGGATATGCACATAGCATGCTCTCGAATACCTACGGCACATACCATTCACTTGACATAGCCGGGTAAACAGGCGTTTGGCCAACCTCCAGTTTGCGCGGAAAGGTATCCGTAGAGAGCTCGTAATTAGACGAAATGCCAAAATTGCCACCTCTCCATGCCTTTTTGATCATTTTATGTCGAGTTGTCTTTCTTGCTCCGCGGTCACAGTGTAGTTTGAAGGCAGTTGCAGAATGGTCCGTCAGAAGGGCTGAGGGCGTTTGCAACAGTATGGATCTTACACTCTGTGATCCATGCAATTGTTTATAACGTGGCAACTGTGTAAGTTTCTACGGCAAAGGAGTCTCAGTTGTGTTGCCTGTGGAGGTAGTTTGCATCCCTAGTTGCAGCGATGTGCGCATAAACGTTACTCCGCAACAGCCCCACACACTTGGGGAGATCTATCCAGGGGTGCTTTGGACGGGAGGACGCCACGTACAATTTGGTAACTCTTATATTGGGCGTTCAACTCGTTTGCAACTCGCGAAGCTCATTAGCAAATATGAAGGCCAGCCGCTAGGTTTAGTAGCATCGCATGATTTATCGCGACAGCTGCATGCAGTGAAACCCACCCCCAGAGACGGATGGTTTTTTATGTGCCTGCTACTAATTAGTAGCAAAATATGCTAACATTATAGGTTTTACGGCCATAATATCTCTCAATATTCCAACTATTTTCTGCTGTCACACCAGTGAAACTGATCAGGATATGGCAACAAGTGGGAGCATGACTACGGCTTGGGGCCTCGTCACATGTAAACAAGCGCGGTACCTGCATCTTAACCAGGTAAAAATATCTTTGAATCAAAGTTAAAGAGTGTTTCCACCGTTGCAGACCATGCGTATATGACGGATGCCACGCCTCGCTGGCAGTGGTTCCTTGCCACTCCAGTGCTGTACTTGTACCTTCAAAATGCATTTCAAGTATAGCAAATGGTATTGGCCCTTTTGTTATTAGACGTGGAGGCAGGCCACTGTTGGTTATGACCAATAACAAACGTAGCACTTTACCAGAGTAGCCCCCAACGGTGTAATCTCGTGTGCATGCGCTGTGATGGCTAGCAAGGAAGCAGGCCATTGACGGCCTGGTAAAGATTAAACCAGGGACGGTATCTATGGAATGATGCAACGAGTATAATAAATACTTGGTAAAGAGAAGTTCAATCTTTCATAGCAGGACGTTATCCAGGAGAGGGACAAAATCCTGGGCGGGGCAGAGGGAGCTAAAGTGCGAAGGGCTAAAGGAGCATCTGGGGTACTTACCTTTTGAAGAGGAAAAAGACACCAATTCCACAATTCGAGGAGAGCAGGAGGGAAAAGAGCTTGAAAATAACCCTCGTAGAGCCTACAGAACTTGGGATTGTGCGCACCCCTCACCCTGAAAACGTTACGGGGTGAGAACGGGCGGGAGCTGTCGGGGGACGCTGCAACTTGTAAATCCGGTTCTTCTGCAGTGGACAGAGCAGCGCGATTGCATGTTGCAAGAACCCTCTAAGTGCTAGGGAACTCTATCGAATTAACTTCCATTAGAGCCGCCAGGGCAAAATACAAAAGCTTCAAAGGAACTCATAGAACCGCGGTAACGCGCGGGGTTGCGATGAGGCCGCATTCTGCTACCACAACACTTGGCAATCCGCGTCAAACAATCTGCGCACTTCCCCAAGTTTCTATGAATGGTCAGGAGTTGCTAGGGCTACTTGACATAAAATGCAAAGTTGGGTTGATAACTGGAGCTACGGCGAGGTAGTGCAGCCTGTTAGCCTACACGTTAGAGTATTGTGTGCAAACTTGCAAATGGCAGACAAGACACGACAAACGGCGAATCTACGATCTTTAACGTGGGCCCAATTTGGGAGTGGGTCATGTCACTGTGGTATAGGTACCCAATTTGAGCCAACCGTGGCAGAATCCTTGCCGTGCGTCAGTGGACTGTGTGCGCATGGTTTCTAGAGACAAAGATGGATGTATACCGACGGTAGACGTATTTCGAGGACGCATATATCAGCTCTGGAAAAATATGCGCCCTCTATAGTGAATGTAATCAATGCTCAATGCCCCATGGAGGAGGTAGTGAGGAGGCTCTAGCGAAGGTCCTAGGCACAGAAGGACGGTAGTGAGCACTAAGCGAGACAAAAGACGTGCGGTCAGAATTAGATAACGCCCTCTGGCCTCTTCTAGTCGAGTCGTTGCGTGCAGAGCGACTCAAGGCCCTGTAGCTGCTGAACAGGAAGTGGCCCGACAAACGTGACGATGCACGCTGTAACTGGTGTTGCAGCAAACCAACAATATTGTCAATGGTTGAACACCCAGGTTCATTGGGGTGGTTGCAGGTTGAGTTTGGTGGTAGTTGCAAACTGCCTGCCTGGGTCGACGTTGCACACTAAGTGCAGTAAGATACCATGTGCAAGGTTGGGGCAGACGCGAACAGACAGAATTCCTCGTTGTTCTTGTCAACAGTTAGCTGCATACGATTTCTTTCTGGGGCTGGGCTGCAACCAGTTCCATCGGACTATGTAGAGTAGCGCGTGGCCCGAGAAAACCGCATCTGCCCTCAGACGTTTCTTGGCCGCGCATTGTACTAGCGCAGTTTGAGTGAGCTCGCATTACCCCAATTCTGACAGCCTTGCTCAGTGCCCAGGCTTCGATCCATAGCCTAGGCCTGGGTAACAGCTTTTGCGTTCTCGTGGTGGGGGCATTTGTTCCATATCCACCATGTTGTCGCCGCAGTGAGGTCCGATACTTCGTGTGACTGGAGTGGCATGTAGAGGCAGATCAGATGCTCGACTTGACGGAACGTGGACAACTACACTTGAAGAACGCTGCAAAAGGAAAAGGCTTTGGAGGCCTTGTGAGACACTTAAGGTCGTCTGTTGTGCTAGAGCCCTCTGATTTTGACAAACCCTTCCTCCCGATAAAGAAGCAGCAGTTAAAAAAACTGATTTGTTTGAGGCTCTGAGCACGCGGACAAATCGAGGAAACCAACAATCCTGGTGCTACTAATACCGTCTTCCGAAAAGAGTGTAGAAGTATGCGGTAATTGCGAAGGAGCTCTACGGTGTCTGGTGATAAATAAAGAGTAGTTGATATGTCTTATATTTTAGACCCTTCAACGCTCAAGTCCAATATCCGGCATACCTGACGAAGGGTTTTCAATATTTCGAGGGCAAATTAATTGTTAGGTGGCCTTACTGCCTACCAACCAACTATTCCCGACACTATCAAGAAAGCTGTCGCAGGTTCTCTTCCACTTGACCGCTGTAGCAGCATGAGCCTACAGAACCCCGAACACATCCACTGCAGCAGATGCACGCGAATGTGTTGCAGCGGATGTATCAGGAGCCTCCTACTTCTGGGTGGGCCAACCCCTTGCTGAGGAACAACGCACACGCAGGTGTGTGCTGGTTGGGAGAGAGCTAGGGGAGCAGATTGAGCATAAACTACATGGAGTCAGTTCCTGTATTTGTACATGAATACAGCAGCTCCCTTGCAAAACACGTTGCAGCGAGGTGCGTTGCTGATGCGGAGAGGCAGTTTCCTCTTCACACAAGCCCCAGGGCCTTGGGCAGCTGCGCTCAGCAATCTTAAGGTTTGGAATGATAAGCTGGATCTGCATCCCTGGGATTGTCAACCTGAAGTTTTGATTCCCTTTCAGGTCGCAATAGCCCCCCTCTAGCATAGACGTATTACTTCAACTACGGGGAGTTCATTTTGTGCTTTCAAAGTTGGTTCCCTGGACTCAGAGGCCCCGTGTAAAACGTACGAAAAACGGCACCCTGATGAATTTGCTGTACCCTGGTAAGCAGGCCACCACTGTGGAGATGCAAGAAAAAGCAGGTGAAGTGCGCAGCTCGTAGGTCTGAAGTTGGTAGAGAGATCAGCTGCTTCAGGGGAGCCTATTGTCGTAAGTCTTCTAATTTATAGGAGCTGGCGCCGTTCCTATGTTGAAGTTGAGGGCGGCAGCGACATACGCTGGCTCTCGGAATCCACTATACATTTGTCTTTGGGAGACGCACGCTGTACAATGCGTTATACTATGATATAGTGTATATATTGAAATACATGACAGTCGTTGTACCTCGCCTGCAGTGCAGGACCGCAGCTGTGGAAGAGTTCAAAAGGAAGCAAGTCCCTGGATAAGAAGGAGTAGCGGGTCTAAATTTAATTGCAAAAGGCGGTTGTAGGCATGATTCGAATAATGATGATTAAACAAAATTAGGGACTGGATTGTGCAGTAGCCCAGCGTGCAGGTATCTGGGGGGCCCCACGGCAGCTGAACAAAACCAGCACTGCAGCGCAGTAGACGCAAAGGTAGTGGCTGATCTAGTGTTTTTTCATAATCGGATCAGTAATTTTAACAGTATTTTTGCCTCTAGACATCAGAACTTCTGCTGATCGGTGCCGCTCGTGAACGCAGCTGCCCACTGGAAGCAATCCCAACTGCAACAGCTGTCAATAGATAGCAACGATGGATCCATCCGAGGCCATTCCAATGTTAATGGATTTCGCTGGTCAGTTTAAATGTGGATACCGCTTTTGATTGATTTCCATTCGTTCTGGTTCGCGGCATTAGTTCAGCTACGCGGCAAAACCAGATGATTGCAAGTTGTCCTCATGAGTGTCGTTGAGTGTCTTAGTGTCTTTGAAGGTCTCCGAGATTCATTTGGAGCAGACATCGATGGTCTCGTTGATGCTTTGCTGTTCCTGAATGTATCAGTGCACAACCTGGTAGTACCAAGGGGCGAATGCAGAGCAACCAATGAGCTGCTGGCGTGACTAAGAACTAGGTTCCCTGCTGTGTTGCTGCAAACTGTAGCAACATCGTACTGATGATATGGGACATTTAGTTCTTCCCACTCGAGAGGGTATTACGTTTCACTACTTGTGTTTAGACCAGTTTTGCTCGGTTGCCTCTCGATGTGTTTCTCTCCTGTGACCAGGTATACCCGATGCCGATACTGCAAGACGTTTCCTAGAGGTGATATTGATCGCACTTTAGGTTATTTATGGCATTTCCAAGTCTGAGGTTCCGTCTTCTGTACATCTTCGTACAACTTGAAACTCTCCGCTGGTACTCCGTGCACCCGTTGGTTGTTTGCACATTGTTTGCATTCGGTACCTCTGTTCTTGGTCTGTGTGCTCCACTCAGCAAGCAGGAGGTGATATTAATGCAGCCGCGTCTCTCTACGTAGACAGTGTAGCAACGAACGGCGGGGTATCGGCATCATCGCACACTGGGGATGGCCTGAGGGCCCCGGATCCGGAGTATTCGCAGACACTGCTTAGTGAGCTCGCCCCTCTCGTTTCCCGTGTTGTATTTTTGTTGTTTTATTTTTGTTTGTACTTGCACATCTATGCATTTTAGCGAGGAATGTGTGTACGGGTCGTCATTTCACATGGCCGCTGTTGTTTTGCAGGTGCATTTGTCCGGGCCAGTGCTGTGCGTGCATTGCAAATCCTGTGCGACACCCGCACGTGTAACTCGTTTGTGACGATTTGAGTTTTTGCTCCAGGCCCTTCTTTCCACTCGGGCCAACTGGCCGCAAGCTCTGCAGGCTGTAAGCTGATTCCTGCTGGTCTGCCTCTCCCCGTGTAGGCGTATTTTCTTGCCTACGTATATCTACGTCTGCCGCGTCACATATCTGCACACATATGCCAGGTGGTTAAGGGGCTGACCTGCTTTCTATGACATACCGTGAGGTTCTTCGTGCGGTTAATTTGTGGTTTTCTTTGTGCTGTTGATAAACTGAGGTCATTCCGTAGAAGGGCGGAACTGGCAAATGAAGAATGCCTGATATTCTTGTACACTGTGGGGCATAATCCTGTGTTAAGTGCTGTTTTTATTGCTGTTTTCGTACTCAGTTACTCAGCGAAATGTGACAGCTCTCGCCGTGAATTCTTCTGTTGGGACGGTGGCATTTCGGGAGCTGTTTGAACTGCCTGGAGGATTATCGTGCCAAGAGTCGTTTGGACGTGTACGCCACACCTGAAATTTTCATTGGTTTCTGTAAATTATACTCGTGGACATCCACATGAATAGAGCTATTTAAATGCACAAGGTTTCCCTTTTCCCTGTCGGTGGATCAACTTATGTAGATCTCTTTTGTGCCGATATCTGTTTATATGCAGCAGCATGTATCTTGTGCATTTGTATATGTAGCTGGAAATAGGAACATGCGTCTCATGCATAAGGCCACTGTGGCAAGTACTAGGTACACCGCTGCTTCTGTCTTGCTTCGAATGCGGTTGGCAGTTCTTTGACTGGAAATGGAAGTTTTCCGGTATCCTGGACATACTTGGTCAATGCAAGTTCGTGATGGGTGCGCAAGCTGAAGCACACTTGCAGCGCTTCTGCGGCGGTGTGTGGCAGGCGAAAGAATTGGGCAGAATGCAGAACAAGTGGCTTCTGGTGAACATTCAACAGGCTGATGCTTTTGAGTCTCTCAGACTTAATAGAGATGTTTGGAAGGCGGAGGTTGTTCAGGTGAACTAAAGTTACTCCTCTTGCGTACACCGCATAGTGGAACCCGTGGGGCGATTTTACACGCATGCAAAGGGGAGATGCTAGCCCATATAAGCATGCAAAAACGCATGCTTATAGGGTGATGAGTCAATGGATTTTAAGTTCTTGTATTTTCAGTAGCATGCAATCTCATGATACCCTCGTGTAGCTGTTCAGCTCCTGTGTGCAGTCTACCCCTTACCCCTTGAGGATGAGTTGATAGGAGGTTCTAACTGAGCATACCTTGTGTTGTGCCGCACTTCGGCTGTATTCTTATATGCTCAGGATCTTATCAAGGACTTTTTCATCTTCTGGCAAAGGACAGATCGGTGCGAAGAAGGCCAAATTTTCTGCGACATGTACCGCGTAGGTGATTTGGTAGCACGTTGTTTCCCACTGCTCTGCATTGCCTGTACTGTGTGACCCTTGTTGCTATTCTTACCTACATACTTGCCAGGCTATCTGCTCCGTATTCAGGTCACGTCTCTGCCTCATGTGTGCGCCATCGATCCACTCACTGGCCGTTGTTTGAAATCTTGGAGCACTCGGGTCCTCAGCGACCCGATTGCTGTACAGTCTGAGTGTACGTACAGCCCACGCACTGCTATGTGTGGTTAATCCCCGTTGAAAACTGCCACATGCATATTCGCTTACATATGGTACAGTATTTGTTATGCTGCCTCTTAGCTTCACTGAACTCCCATGAGGCCATGAGGTGTACTGCTCTGCCGCACGTGAAAAGTTCTACAACCGTAGAGGCATTGACCAGGCTTATTGGGTGGTGGTGCATTGTGTTCCTTAGGGCATGGCTTTAAAGTTTAACATTTGGTTGCACCTATGTGGTGTCCCTCGCTTGCAGTTTTTGAATTCGTTGAGCGCCAGCAAATGGCAGAAAAGAAGCGCAGTCCGAGCCCCCAACCTTCAGAAGGCTCCCACTCCCACAGTGTTCCTCCAGGCCCCACACATTTGACTTCTGCAAAGGCTGCAGCTGTTTCACCTGGTGCTGCTCCTAGTGAACTTTCCGTTGCACGCGCGGAGTCTCCGACTGCGACTGCTGCAGGTGCAGCAGTAGCATCAACAGCAAATGAAGTGGACGCAGGTACTGGAGGCCACCAGTTACAGTCGCATAAGCCGAACGCGGGGGAAACCGAAGCCTCTGCCTACAAGGACGTTAATTCTCAGTTGTTGGATCTGAGGAGGCTTCGTGAGGAGCGAAGGCAACGGCAAAAAAAGACTCAGACACAGAGCTAAGATGAGAAGGGCTCATTCCTGCTGAATGGTGGACTAGTGGTCACCGCACTTAGAGCCCATGGAGAGATTGCGTGCAAGCAAGTGCCCTGAATTTCGTCCGTTGGTGGTTGATGTGCTTCCATATGCTTTTCAGTCTTTTTTGCCGCGGCAACGCGAAGATTTATTTTTTGTCTGGGATGATTTGAACACTTTGTACCTTTCTGTATTACCAAACCATGTTTGAAGTGTGTTTGTCCTCACCGTACATCCGGTAGCGTAGCACCCCAGCCCTTCATCAAGCTCAGTCCTTAGTTGTTACGCGTGAGTCTCGTGCTTGTCTTGTAAGGTTGGGGAGAGAAGAAAGGAACGGTCCTCGTTGCAACGACCTCGCCGCACCAGCTAATAATGTGGCATACTGTGTAGAGATTATTGCATGGTATGGATTTCATGCATACATGCCGTGAGAGGAATAAGCCAGCTGCCTCAGGCGGAGTGGGGTAGGGAAATCAGGCAGAAAGCCTTGCATGCGCGACTGGTACTGTTATGTGTCTAGGATTGCGTCCACATCGCCAGCCTGTCTTCCTTATTTGCTTCCCTTCTTGTTTCTGTGGCTGCCTTTCCCCATCAGCTCGTCCTGGAATGTTCTGAGCAGTCGTTGTGCGAATAGTGTAGCACCTCCGACGAACATAGTTGCCTGCGAAGAAACAGTGCACGGGAGATACAGAGGGCGAACGGTAAACTAAAGGCGCATGAAGATTCTTATTCAGGGGCTGCCATGCATCTGCACATAAGCAAGCACGTGGCAGTGTGGGCATTTAGCCTTCTCTGAGTTCCAACTCAACTGCTAAAAGGGGAAATACGCAGTTCAAAGGCTGACCACTGTCGTGCTCCCAGGGCGGGTGGTGGGGGGTGGGTGGTTGAGGAGGTTTACACAAGTACCAGTTCCTTTATTCTGAATTATACCCTTCTCAGGCGTATAGATATGCAGACGTTGTTTGCTACTGGAAGGCTGCCGATTTGTGGGCGGGGACCAGCGAGACAAGCTGTAGCCAATGCCACTGGCCAATAATTCAACTTATATGAGTGCCCGTTTATATGAGTTCCTGAGCCAAGACATTTTGGTCCTTGTCCAATATTTTAGAGCTGAAAACAGTAAAATGTTGGTACTATGAACAAACACCTTCGACATCAACGACCGACTCCACCACGACCTCGGGCCGCAGCCGACGCCGAGGGGCCCTTGAACTGCGCAGCAACTGGAAATTCGAGCATTGGATTTATTTTCACGATTAACTTCAGAGTAATATTCAAGTTTTTCATATAACGGGGAGGAACAGTCCTAACGTGTGGGCAGCTTCCACATATGCAAACTGCGTGGAGCGAAGGAATGCCCGGCCGTCTGCGGTCGGCTGCCTTGTTTTTCTGCAGAAGTTCCTTCCTCTCAGCTTTTTAACTATTCAGTTTTCCCAGATGATAGAGAACAAACACATCTCTTGGAGCAAGGGCACTCTGAACAAGAGGAGGAACAGCATTTGGGATACAGGCAAGCGAGTCACGGGCACATGCAGCAACGGCAGCTACATACAGTATGTCTTTCCCCTTAGATGAACTTTCCAATGCATTTTCAATGGAAGGAGCTTCTCCAGAGGCGGCACAGCAGGAGAAGCAGCAGCAAAAACCACAACAACCTCATCACTCTGCTGCGGTGGCAGCAGAACCTCTGGCTGGAGATGAGACTGCATTGTTCGGTCCTTTTCGTGCATCAACTGATTATTCATCACTTTCGAACCTTCATACAACAGAGGCAGGAGCATCTATACAAGCAGCAGTAGCCCCTGCCACTCCGTTCGGGGTTAGTGACGCATTCGGGGAGTGGGCCTCGGCGTCGGCAGCCGAGCATCAACCCCAGCAGCAAATACAGCATTATCAACAGCAGCAGGAGCAGGAACAAGCTTTTGGGGACTTGGGCAATTCGGATGGCGGGAATCATCCGTTTAATAGGGGAGAATCCTTGAGAGATGGGAATCAGGGTTCCGTTGCTGAGGTCGTGAATCAGGGCGGCAGCGACAGCGACACAGCCATTAACAACGCCCAAAGCTGGAACAGACGCAATAGCCCCCAAATGCCAGTAGATGCGCAAGCGCCTGCGAGCTTCTCCGGCATTGTTGCTGCCTTGGGTGCTGATTCTGGTCGTTCTGCTACGACTACTGATGCCCCTGCGGATACGTCTGTTACTATTGTTGCCCCTGAGCCAGCAGCATATACTGTGCGAAGTAGTTCTAAAGAGTTCTCTGCGATCCCTAGGTCTCCTGCACCAGCAACAACACCAGCCTCTGCAACGGAATCCCCACAAATGCGTGTGCTAGGAGACGCAAAAGCTGTACATCTAGCAGCCGCAGCAGAGGAGGCGAGCGGATTGCAAGGGACCCGTTCACACGCTTCTTCACATAATCTCTCCAGAATTGTGTATTCCGGGGCACTTAACAACGAAGGTGCCGTGCATGTTTCAGCGCCCCAAGATTCAACTGTGGTCACTGAAGATTCAACTGTGGTCACTGAAGCGGCTCCTGAGGCTGGGAGTCCTGTTGCGTTTGCAGCTCTTGCCTCTGCCGCTTCCCCGGATGAGGTTAGAGTTTCTGCTCTTTCGGGAGACCCCTCAAAAGCTTCTTCTCCAGGTAATTCACCTTCTACAGGGGTTGAAACCTCGATATCAAGCGCGCACAGCACGGGTAGATGAGCTGTGCACCTACTATGCTTTTAGCTTCAATAGATTGCTAATCTTTGCAGTACATATTTCGAGCTCCGGTTAGGTTGAGGAAAGCCTCGTTCTTCCCTGCATGGGTTACTTCAGCTAGAAGTGTTGTTGCTCATGTTGCTGCTGCTTCGCCACTGGTTGGCACTGTTGCGTTCCTGCAATGGCTGCGGCAGCAGGAAATACAAGGTTTGAATAACGAGCTGCAGTAGCATACGCTGTGTCTTCTTCAGGAGATGCGTCAGGAATCCCGACGGATTCCGATTTGACCCAGAGGACACTAGACGCTGCTCCGGTACATGCATCAGCTGCTGCGGCTGCTGCTGTCGCGCAAGAGACAGCAGCTCCAACAGTTACAACTTTTGCTTCCACAAAACCGTCCAGCACTGCCCCCGTTGCTTTATCAACAAGGCCGGTTTCTGCACATGCAGGAGGAGTAGCAGGTGATAAAGGCCCAACGGTTACAGATACAGTAGCTGGAGCACCAGAAACCGCAGCAGCATATTCATCTCAGGCGGGGGCAGTCCATGACTGGGAGGCGGTAGAGCGCTTGAGCCAGAAGTACCGACAGTTGAAGAAGCAGAACACCCTTCTTAAGGAAGCTCTTCGACAGCAGCAAAAACAGCAGCAGGAACAGCAGCAGCAGCAACAACAACAGGGGGGGGAGCAGCATCAATCGCAACAACAGCAACAGCAGCAGCAACAACAGCGGCAGCAAGAAGAGCCGCAGGGGCTTGTGAGCCAACTGCAGCAGCAGGTGGCGCTGGGGGAGTTTACGCAACGCCAGCTCCTGGACGACTTGGATACTACGCAACGGGAATTGAAGCGGCACAAACAGCAGCTGCAGCAGTTGCAGCAACAGCTGCAGCAACAACATTTACTTCTACTTAAAACGGGAGCCACTTCTCCGGCTGGAAGTGCCGCAGCAAGCAGCTGGGGGTTGTCGTTACTGGGGGGCGGTAGTGCAGCGGCTAAGGATGCTGAACTGAAGGCACTCCAGCAGCAAGTCGAGGTATGCATGTCTGTCGTGCTGCTGCTACCACAGACTGTGAATTTACTTCTGTAGCACTACGAGAGTTGGTGTTCGTGCCTCGGCACCAAAATGCGATAGATAGCATATCAGAAGAAGCAGAAGAAGGCAAAATGAGACTGCTGTGTGAGGATGCAAGGTTAGCGACGTGCAGTGCTGGTATTTTCAGGTGTTACGGGAGGAATTGCAGCTCAAGATAGAGGAGAACGAGCGGTTACACTTAGAGGCGTTTGAGGAAAGACAGCAGCAGCAGCAACAACAACAACAACTCGAGGCTACTATTCGTTTGTTACAGCAACAGCAAGAGGATGCGCAGCAGCAACAACAACAGCAGGCTGCCGACTCCGCAGAGCGGCAAAGGCAGTACGACCGACTACACCAACACCAAGAAGAGAAGATAAGACAGCAACAGCAGGAGTTGGCGCGTGCTCACGACCAAGAACAGCTGCTCCTACAACGGTACGCCTGCAGCGACAGCAATGTTCCCCGTCGTAGCCAAAAAGGGTACTATGCAAGGCACCAGCTTGCTGGCATTTTTGGCACTGTTGTCGTCGTCATTGCTGACTCCTGCTGTTAGTGTTTCCACTGCTGCTTCTTTTTCAACGCCCCTGTGTGAGGTTTTTCTGGTGTTGCTGATCTGGTTGCTTTCTTTTTCGTACCTTTGATTTTGCAGAGCCAAAGAAGACCAGCAGCAATTTTTGCTTTGCCAGCAGCAACTGCGACAAGAGCAGCAGCAAGCCGTTGCCTACTATAGTACCTTGCTTGGCTGCGACTACACGCGGATGCCTCTTCTGCGCTGTCTGGATTTGCCATCCGGGGGCTATGCTACTGCAGCAGCCGCAGCAGTAGCAGCACAAGAGGAGCTGCTGCGGCTCATTGCTGCTGCTCTAGGGGATCTACAGCACATGTTACAGTGTTGGGCAGCTAGCCTAGAAGTTTCAGCAGGAACTGGAGCAGAGCAAGGCATTGATGGCCTCTCCGCGAATAGCGTAGACTATTTGGATGCAGAAACACCCTCCAACCGCCTTCCTCGGTCTCTAGGTCTGGCCTGGCGTATACGAACCGCAACGCGGCAGGTCAGAGATGGTTATCTGTATCTGCATTTTCCTGCTTCTGCGTTCTTCCGGTCCTAAGTCCTGCTGCTCCAGCAAGCTGCTCTTTTGCTGTTTATTTAAACTGATGCTGATCCCAGTTGCTGTACCTGCTAGCTGTCTCACATGCTGCCGTAAGGGCGGGCGTGTATGACTAGGTGCATGACTACTAATTGCATCCAGTTGGTGCAGTTGGTGATGGTTGTGCTGTTGTATGCATTTGGGTTTCTCAGGCTCGCCGAGCCGCCATGGATTCTGTAGCGTCCATTTCTACGGTGTCATCAATCCTAGAGCGTGCTGCTAATGCTGTTGGTGCCACTGCTCAACCTGTGACCCAACGAATCCACATCAGATGTGACGACTTCATAGAGAAGTTGCACGTCTGTAGCGCGCTCCCCTATTTTGCTCCCCACTCCTTTGCTATAGCTGCTGCTGCTGATGCACATTTGAAGGGCTAGTTATGCTAGTTGCAAACAGTCTCCGCTCCTCCTGGGTTCTACCTTGCTGTTGGCCGTCAGCTATGCTGCTGTTTCGAACATGTTATTTGCTGCTCCACTCTGAAGCTGTTGACTGTTTTGAAACTCCCTGTGGGTTTTCCACGTATGTTTGGTTGCATTCAGAAGGAAACTGACAAGCTCAGTACTGCATTTACTCGGTTTGTCTCCCTGACTCTCCTGGCCGTCTCGCTGCAGTACGATGCTCTTAGCGGCCCCCAGCAACAAAATCGGCAGAAGAGGCAGCAGCTGAATGCAGAGAAAGGAAGCGACAATGGCAGCGTTTCGGATCCTTTCGGGCAAGGAGCTCACGTCCTTTCGTTCAGGGTTTAGGATTTTATGGTTGGGAGTTCGGCTAAAACAAGCATTCGTGTCATGTGTGGGCTGCCACTGGCAAATCCACTGCTATTTTCCGCCGCCCTTGCTTGTGTTGTTCGGTGTCAAGGCGGTCTGGTCTCGGTACTGTATGCCTGGACTTCGTCCCGAGCAAACATTGCCTCCAAAAGGGTGAGATATGCCACATTGCTTGACGAATGCCTGTTTGGTGTTTCTCAGGGCGTTACTGGAAGAGTTGCAGCGAGGCTCAGCAGCCTTGGCAGCTGTTGCTAATGCTGCATCTGCCTTCATGAAGGCTGGGAAAACCAACAGGAGGACAGGTGGCGACAACCACGTCGCTGCAGACACCCAGGCGTTGTCTAAACAGCATTTTGCCGAGTTAACTGCTGCATTAGAATATCCTCAAGAGGAGCAGCAACAGGAAGTGCTACGGGTGTCTGACATGCTTCCGCGGAAGTCCCATGACATAGCGCTACAGTCCACGCCTTTTCTTTCGGCGAAAGAACAACAACAACGCCAACACGTAGATCTAAGTATGCCCTTTCCGTGGCGCGGCTGTTCGCCGCTGCCGCCTCCGCGGCAGCAGTTGGACGAACAAGAACTTCCTCGGTCTGGATGCAGCAAATGGCTGCAACAGTTGGGGAGCTGTAGTGGGGCAGCAGCAGCTGCAGGCCTTACATTATCCGGATGGCGCGGAACAGCAATAGCAACGAAAGAGCGGCTGTTGCAACTTCTTGTCCAGAAGCTAACGGCTCTCCTACAGACATTCCGTGAGTTGCATGTGCAGCTGCTGGTTTTGCTGCATTTGGTGCAGAAGCAGCCGATTAACCGGATCATTACACACATATCAGCAACAGCAGAGAGGGCAGAAAGCGTAGCAGGCCCACTGCAACCAGTTCGCCAGCGCCGTTGTGATCAGGCAGTTTGGCTCTCTGCTTGGCTGGTCGTGTGCGACGCCCTGCGGACCTTGTTGATGGACAGCTTCTACTGCTCTCCGGGTAATTCAGCTGGACTGCAAACCACAACAAACCGTGGCAGTACGAGCAGCCGTAGGTGGTGTGGCTATTTCATTTATTGCGTCTATTACTTTTCCCCCTCCTGCTTTCGCTTCTGTTGCTGCTGCTGCATGCTCTTGTCTCGCGGTGCTGCGGATAGCACTATACTTGAATGAGTATCCTGCCAATGCTGCACTGGTTATCTGCTTATTTGTCGTTGGATGCTGCAGCACAGGACCTTGCATGCTCTCGCTGCTTCAAGCGCTGCGCGCAGTGAGCAGTGTAGACGGAGGCTTATCCCGTTTGCTGCAGCACTCAAAGCTGCTCTTGCAGTTGCAGCGCTGCCCCGCATATGCTGCTCTCAGATCAGAGGCTGTGGACGAAGTTGCTGCAGTGTAAGCCAATTCCCATATGTCGCTCTGAGTTGTCTGATTGCCCATGCGCCCCCTCAAAACCCTTGCCGCACCGGTTGTTTGCTTCAGTGGCTCAATACTAGTTGTCATTCGTTAGAACATCTGAGATAGAACTGACGGATCCATTGGATCATGTTGCGCCTCTTTGGCTTCTGTTGCACCCATGTTCATTACTGTCATCCTACGGTCGTTGCTGGCACTTTTGTATTGTGGTTTGCAAATCAGCGGTCTCAGGGGCGCCTCGCAGGCGCGCGCTATTCTCTTGAGCTCCGGCGAGAAGATTTCGACTCGAGACGCCCGTCAACTCATAAGCAAACAACATGTCGGAGCTACTTTCGTTGACTCTCAACCTTTCTCAGTTGTTATCGTTGTCGCACTTATAATCCCATCCAGGTCACCCGTGAATGATTTTGTTTTGGGTGTTTTAGTGTTGTGCTGCTGCATCTGCTGTCCCCACATAAGCCTTTTGATGCAGTAGGGTTTTCCTCTTCCTGTTTTCCCCCTGTAGGCAGCGGAAGCGGAAGTCGCTGCGGCGGTGGCTGAGGTGCGTCTTCTGGAGGAGCGAATGGCTGAAGCAAACAAGGTGGGGCTCTTCAAATGCGCAACGGGCCTACCATAGGGAACTTTTAATCATTAAATTCCATTTATGTTGTAGTCCCCGCGGTCGAAACAAGATAAGCAGTGCATCCTTCCCCCGGTGTTTCAGCCCTCCGGCACGTTTTGATGGGGCGTTGATGTTGCTGTGCTGTTGAAATACTAGTGTCCTCCTGTGGGCCCCTCCATGCTCCTCTGCTTTGTATCTGCATTATTGTTTACAGGGAGCAGCGCAGCTCCGGGAAGCACAAACCGCAGTGGCACTGCTGCAGGCAGAGGTTGTACGGCTCAAAAAACAAGCATACAGTACAGGGGGGAGCATCACAACCGACACATCCCCTACAAGGAGCAGCAGCAGCCGTTGTTCCGCACAGCTGGACGTTGGTGCTGCTTTGCTACCAGGGCCTACTATCCCTTCTTTTGCTGCTGGAGAGTTGTCCCCGTTTGTTGCTTCTAAAGGCTCCACATCAGCAGGTTCGGATCGATTTTCGGCTCTTCCCGTTATCCCTTATTCTGCTGCAGCTTTTCGTTGTCTGTGGTTCACTGCCCTTGGGCAGCTGAAAGCTTTTGCTGTGTTTAGTCTGCCTATTCTGTTCAGGTGATGCCGCTGCCGAGGGTTTCGCTTGGCCTACCAGCGCAACTACATCGAATGCGGCAGACTCAGTAGAACAAGGAACGGCTTTGACGTGCGTGCATGCAGGGCGCCTTCTTGCCTTTCCCTTTTGTTCAGACATTTTGTTGCTATCGGCTGCTAGAGGTGGTGCAGCTGCATCAGTTGTATTTTGGTTCCACCAGTGGGGCATTTTCTGTTGATGCTGCCGCTGCTGTTGCTGTTCGCATTCAGGGGCCTCCGTATTCCTACTGAAGAGCGAGACGGTGTATACGCGCAGCAGCTGCTGCTGCTACAACAGAAGCTGCAAGCTGAGGCTGCAGCTCTAAGCATCCTGAAGATGCAGCTTAGCAGCGCTTTCAAGGTGACTTACATCATGAGTGCATTCTTTAGAAAGACACGTCTGCGTACATTCCTGGGATATTCGTGTTATTGCCAAATCACACGAGTCAGTAGTGGGGGTGTACTTTGTTGATTGTGCTGCTACAGGCTGTTCATGCACTTGAGGATCAGCGAGCTGCTCTTCGTCACGAGCTGCGTCGCTCGAAAGAGGAAGCAGCGGCAGCAGCTGCTGCTGCTGTTGCAGCAGCAACGGAGACAGCAGCAAGCGCTCGCCTTGCAGAGGAAAACTACTCGCAACAGTTACGGCTGCTCTCCCTGCATGTGGCTGAGACACATGAAAAAAATAAAGAAACGCAGCGAAAGCTCGCGGGCCTGCTAAAGCACAAAATACTTTGTGGACGATGCGGAGTCTGGAACCCCTTGAGTGAGATACGTCTAGAAGTTTGTTTAGTACAACTGTGAAGTGCTAGAAGTACAACCTTTATGATTTCATCTTTTCAGGTGTAGTTTACTGAGCGCTATTCTCCTGTATGGGCAAAACACCGCTAACGTATATGGTGCCTGCGTGCTTTTCAAGTTGGTCAATAGAGACAACTTGTTTCCTCCATCTTTTGCTCTTCCCCCCTTTCGTCGCGCTGAGACTTATGCTTTCCGCTACCGCCAGCCAGCCGTAAGCTGCTTTTTAGTGTTTGTTCTGTGGTATACCTACTGACTCCTTGCCTTCTTGCTCTGTTGTGGTTCTGCCTGTTACAATTTGTTTCTCTCAGGCGACCTGCTGGTGGAGGGCCAGTCATGGGGCTGTTGCGTGATGTGCAGCGGCAGAGTGACGGAGCGCCCATTCTAGTTCATGCGTAGCGCTTACTTGTTCTGATCGAAACGCACACCCGCTCGTTCTGGCCTGCTCTTAGAGGGCATTTTATGCTAGCTTCCCTGGGAGAGACTGAGGGTAAATGTGCAACTCAGTACTATTAGTAGAATTCATTAAGCTTTACTGCAAACCCGACAGCTATATTGTGTAGACGGTGCAATGCAACACATCGTAATGGTAATATATACACACGTAAGTGTGAGCTGCCTTAAAAGGATGTTCAAGTAGCAATGGAAGCTTTAGATCCATCTGTAAAGAACACTAAACTGAGCTGCGTTCTCCTTGCATGGAGAGCCAACGAGGGAAAAACATGCACACCTACGTTAAGTTTATTCGAACTATGTTCAAACACTTCCACCCTTGTTTCTCTTCCGTATATTTTCCGTCTCAATCATTGCCTGAGCCACCCTGCCGGCAACATACACCCTACCCTACAACCCCGATGTTTCTTTCGAGGAAGACAGCTTCGTGGTAAAAATCAATTTGTTCTCTTGTGTTTCTTTCCAAGAATCCGCAGCTGCGTGCCGAACAAGCAGCAGCAAGCGAATAATAAAAACCTATAGAGCATTGAAACAAAAAATGTGGCTTATATGCTGCAAGAAACGCCTGCTGAAAGTTCGCACCCAGTTGTGCCGCAGGGATCTGGGGTTTGCTGCAGCTGCTGAATCCGTGGGGAAACAGCAGCCGGCGGTTCCTTCAAGCTTGTTCTCTTTCCCATCCCACAGGCGATATTCCGTTTTGCCGAGATAAATGTAAAGGGCAAATACTTGAAGGGCGGCTCACGCTGAGCTGCATTTTCCTCTCTGTGTGGCTGACAGCACGGGGACTGCCTGTACTCTCGGGGAGGCTGCTGCTGCTGATAAATCTGGCTTTGCAGCGGTCTACTTGACGCGAATATGTTCTGGGTGACTGGGGAAGCGGACGCAAATGGAATGGGGCTGCTTGTGGACAACGCTGTCGGCGTGCGCAGCTTGTGTTGTTGCTGCGGTCCTTGCGGCCTCCTCGGGGAGACAGGATGCAACTGCTGTTGTAATGGCTGAAGATACATGCAAGCTTGTGAAGGATCTTGCAGTGCTTCTTTAGTGCCATCACTCCCAGAAGGGAGCTTGGGGGTGTGGCAAAGTTGATGCGCTGTTGCACACTGTCTTGATTCAGCAAGAGGAACTGCTGCAGCAGTGGGAATTAAGCTTGGATGTGCCTCCGTAGAAGCATCTTCGGGTGGAGCTGGCTCCGCCTCTTGGGTTCGTAGTAGACGCTGCGGTGGTTGATGTTTTTGTCTTGGATGCGGCTGCGGTGGATGCTGCTTCTGCCGTGACCCGCGGCTAGTCGAGTGGCTGCCTCCATCACACTGGGCCCCGCAATCGATATTGCAGCTCCACAGCCACTGAGTCTTTGGTTTCTCTTCGGGTGTTGATTTAGTCGCAGGCTTCTGCTCCTCCAGCGTGACAATCGGAGGTTGCTGTTGCTGAATCACGATTGTGGCAGTTGGTGGCTGCTGAGGTAAACGAGTGGCATTCTGCTGTGGCGATTGCTGCTTCTGGTGCATCGTACCAGACTGCGGCGGTTGTTGTTGCATTTGTATCACGAGAGGTTTCTGCTGTTGCTGCTGTATCACGAGCGGTTGCTGTTGCTGCCACTGTACCACAACAGGCTGCCCCTGCTTGTTTATCACAACAGCTTGCTGCTGCTGAATACGGTTGGACAGCTGCTGCGGCTGCGGCACCAAGACCGGCTGCTGGCGTAGCTGTCCAACTACAATTGGAGTCTGCTGCGGAGGCAGAAGTGGAAGGGGCGCTCCAACCACAGAAAGCCCCGTAGGGCTGCACGATGCACTCCTCTGGCTAGTAGCAGCAGGTTCCAAATGCTGCTGCCGCTGCAATCCACCGGCTCCACACAAAACCCAAGGGTGTCCAGGGTGCACTTGTTGTCTAGTCCTTGATGTCTGTTGAGTTCCTGCTGACACCAATGAAGGTGACCCGCTGAGTACTGCAGGTACGGTTGCTCCTTGAACCATCTGCAACGTTCCCTTAAGTACGTTAGGCGGCTCCTGCACCAACTGAGGGACAACTTGAACCACTGTCGACCCGGTTGACACCAACTGAGGGTTCCCAAACACTAGCTGTGATGGAGTGTTTACCATGGGCTGTGTTAGCGGTTGCGTTAGCATTGCTTGCGGTGGGGCTTGGTCTAGCACATTCCACCCTCCTTGGGTCGCCGGGATGGCAGCTGAGCTGAGAATACGTTGTGGTGCAGAAGCATTTGAAGCCAAAAGGGGATCTTGGTAACTTATCCCTGGGCGGGGTCTTGCCGGTGGCGGTTCGCTGCGATATCGCGCGTGTGTCTTGTTGCTGTCATAGTGTTGTCTCGACCGAGAGATAGACGCCTCCCTGATATTCCATCCGTCCCGTACTTCTCGTGAATTGACAACTCCGTCCTGGCCTGTCGGAAGGAGGCGACCTCTTTTCTGTGGGTACTCGCTTGTGAAATCCTTTTGCTGCTTCTGCTCCTCTTGCTGCATTCCATATTCCTGCCTCTGTTGCCGTTGCTGGTGTTCAAAGCAAACAGACTGAGACGGCTGCACGGCTACCGTCTGGTACATGGCACCTGTCCCTGGAAACTGTACCGCCAAACAGCTCCGTTGAATCGGTTGATGCAGCAGTGTCTGCTGTAATTGCTGCAGCTGGTGCCCCAGGAGCTGTCCCTGTTGAACATGCTGCCGTCCCAGCAAGGTATGCTGATGTTGAAGTGCAGGCAGTGCAATGCCGGGCTGGGTTAACGTGAGAGCAGCCCCTGCGATGTTGTGCCTAGGCACAAGCCATGGTGCTTGCTGTTGTATGCTGCCACTCGAACGGAGAGGTACCCCTGGGCTTAAGTTGCCCTGAGAAGTCTGTAGAAGTCCTGGAAGAACGGGCGTGTACGGCAACCCAGAAGGTGTATGAAGATAGCTGCCAACAGCAACTCCTGATAACGCCCCAGCAAATGGATACAGTGCAGGTGGGGGGGGCACGACGCCTGCGCCGGAAGGCGTAAACGGGGAAGACGGGGAGGAGTTCGCACAAGCAGCCGTACGCAGTCTATACTGTTGAGTCCCTTCGTCCTCACGGGAAGAGCTGCAGCTCCTACTGCTGCTGCCGCTGTTGCTAGTGCCGGTGCTGCTGCTTCCGTCAGAGGAGGAGCTGATATCGGTACCTGAAGAGGCGTCGTCCTCTGGCGCAGAGCCGAAGCTGCGGACAGCATGCAAGTGTTCCGTCAGTGGCTGTGGGTCCCAGCAAAGATTAGGGTTCTCACAGTCTGTGCAGCTCTCGTTTGGTCTGTCACTTGTGAATATCTCGCCAGCTCGAAGTCTTCTGAGTCTTTCTCTCATGCGCCTCCGCTCTCGCTTCCACCGAATGTAGCTCAATGGATACTGGTACTTTCCCTTTCCTCTAATCTGCACAGTCCAGCTGCTCTCCCCCGCACTCTCATTCTTTTTTTGTCCGCTCAATGGGCTTTTGGGGCTCCTGATTTCCGTCGTTCTCCTTCTGGGGGAACCGGCGGGAGACGACGGTGCAGAGGTCCTGGGACTGCGAGGCATACTTCCCCTTGGCGATCCATGCTGACCCTTGCGCATACTAGAGTCCGGAGACACCGGTGGGGAGGGAGGTTTTAAGAAAGATGGCGTGAGAGCCGCAGGAGTTAGCTGGTGCTGTTGTTGCTGTAGCGGCCGGCTCTCTGACGGGTCGGTGGGGGACTTCAGCTGAGGAGGAGAGGATTGGCAACGCCCGGCGCCTAGGCGCTGGGGCTGTCTGCTCCGCCGCGCCGATGCAGTCTGCCTTTGAGAGGCAATTCGAGCTTTTCTCGGGTCCTTTGCTTTGACAAAAACCGCGTGTTTAGCCTTCATGAGGGAGGAGAGGGTCGGGAGCTGGAACCGGCTTTCATACGCCATGCCCTTTGACCGAAGGTCACCGGCTGAACCGTACGGTCCATCATAACCCTCAGCATCTACTAGCCAAGAAGGACCCTGCCGAATAATTGTAGGACTCAGCGGTCTGCCTACAGCTCCAGGCCGGTCTTCCCAGCAATGCTCCATAAGGGCGCCCCGCCTCCATCCCGCTTGGTCGAGCTCTCGGCAGCGCTCGGGGACCTTACCCTGGCCCATTGGGGACTGTGCGAAGTCCTCAGCTGCTTCTTTGTCTTCAACTGTGGTTCTAGCGTGCGACCATAGAGCCTTGACAAACTTTGCGTATTGGGGTTCTGCTGAATTGAATTCTTCCACGCTTACAGGAAGGGGCTGCCTAACAATAGGTACTCTCCAAAGGGGGGGACGAGCAGTCTCTTTAATCGCTTGAGCCTCAGCTGCTTTCTGCCTCAAGAACTGCTTGTAATGCTTTCCCTTGTGGTGCTCGTCGTAGTGGGGACACAATACGCTTGCGTCAACACCATCATCCGAGTCACTGTTGAAACTGGCACCACCCTTACTACCCTGGAACTTAGGAGACTGGTCTCCAGATGAACCCTGTTCATAATGGGGAGAAGCAGTGGCACTAGAGTGGGGCGAGGGTGGCTCAATGCTAATAGAAAAGGGGCAGCGAGCCCCAGGGCCTGTTTTCGCCGCCACATCCAACGGACCCTTCTGGCAATTTTGTCGGATATTGTGCATTATGGGGCAAAATCCACAGGAACAGGTTCTCTTTCCATCAAATTGTACTCCCACCCCACTGGACAGGTGGTGAAGCTAGGGAAAATCAGTCCTCCTGCAGTTTCACTGTATACTTGCAGGATTATACTGGTGGATGCTCCAATATTCAACTAATTACGCTGAAGAGAGGAGGGAAAACCCAGACGAAGACAATAAAAAAGATGAGTCGGCGAGAAAAAAGACGAGTCGCCGAAGGGTTGCAGCAACACAGAGTCATGTTGTGCAGTGTTTGCTGCACGAGGCTGCCTTGCAAATCCGTTCGAGAATTCGTGAAGGCAGATAAGAGATATGAAAAAGAGTATCCTGCTTCAAAAAAGCCGAAGAAGGCAAGAGTCAGTGAGACAAACAACACTATCGACAGCCAAGTGGGTCGACGCAATTGCGCTGGGAAGTGCCGTTGCGCGGGCGGTTGCAGGAGGGAAGCGTCACAAAAACCTGCATAAGCCTTCTCTATGGATTCAACTAACATATTTTTGTAACCATCCAACAAAACAGAATAATCAGTCGGAGAAGACGGTCACTCAAACAACTAAAGCCCGCAAGGCCACACCGCCCGCCTGCCTCGCAACCGACAACGGTCAGCTGAACCCGAGATGGAATCCTGCTCTGCACAATCTAGGGCCCTCGCTACTTCCTTCTCTACTTCAGCTTTAACAACGTGGCAAATGATTATGTTTTTACATAAACCTGTGGCCTGAATAGAGCCAATTCGGCAGCACGCTTGTGCTGGCCTCCCTGTTCTTCACAGGCTCAGTGAACATAGACCAAATACCAGAACCCTAAACCCTAAACGCAACTGACTTGAAGAACCCATAAGCCTCAATATCCAGAATAAAGACGGGATAAGACATGTCGCGCGAATGTAAACAAACTCCGTGGCACTAAAAGGTCACACCCCCCCGCTATAACTAGCGATCGTTTCCCACCACCACCTTCGCCTCAATGGGCTCTCTTCTCGGTATCTTGCCTGCCACCTTTTGGTGTTTCGTCGGCTTCACCCATCTACTACTAAAGCTACTGTAAAAATTTCATTGCAGTATTGGCACTGCTTATGACCTAGACGCAAGGGCCGTTTCCGAAAAATACTTGGAGGAAAACGAATTCCCCCTCCCACACCGCCTTCAGAAGCATACGAGGAAGGTGGATGTAAATTTTATTGTCTACCTTTGCTGCACAGTCTCTTGATATGGAGACAAAATGGGCTCGTACCCTCCAGTTTGCGCAACTGCTAGAAGGCGTACGCCAGTGCAGCTCCGCGTTCACTTGAACGAATGCTGCCACCAAAGCAGCGTGTCTACTATTGTCCGCTTCACGACACTGCGCCCACGAGAAATCTCGAACTTGGCAAGCACAGATACGCGTCCCTTCTCGTGTGGTCGGTGCGCATGTACCGCCCGGAACAATATGCGAGCTTCAGGCAAGCTTTGTCCTTCGTAACGCGGCAGGCTGCTCCCGTATGATGATGAAGAAAAACTGAAGGAAGAGCCCTAGACCGACAAGGCTGCGAACACGCATACGCTACCCACTTCGATCCAGTATATATATTATATATTATATATATATGCATACAATCATATCCGCATACCGGATTTATATACTGGCCGCCACAACCGCGGCGGCGGGTGCTACGAAAGGGGCAGTAGCCTTAAAGCATTAATGGGCAAAATGGCAAACAGATACTACGCGCTACATATAGGAGGTGTGAAGCTTTAACCACGCATACACAAAAAGCCCAGGTGCGCCCACCGGAAAATACCACTCAGGAGGAACTCGTAGAACAAGCTGGCGAGGGATTCCGCTAAGGCCACAAAAGTACAGGAAAATTGCACGGGCTGCTATCTTAGGCTCTGCAACTCTAAATTACGACAGGTCATCCCCACAAAACCCCAGCCACGCATAAGGAAGCCTATTTCCACAACCGACCCGGTGCACGCGACCGAACGAACATTCCTTATGCGCCCGTCACAGCGCACTAGATAGTCGCATTCACGGATCAGTGTAGGCTTCGCGCACCTCTAGAGAATCCGGCATTCAACCGCGCGCAAACCCAGCCTTCAAAATCCACAGTAATGATTCGGTGACCTGTTGAGAAAACCAGAAAGAAGCATGCAGGAAGGTTTCAGACAAAAGAAAGGAATACCTCTTGCCAAAGAGGGTGACACGGCTTGTATCACCCCCTTTGACAACAGAATCTTCTCAAGAAGGGTGCGGAGTCGGATTCTAGCATGCAGTGAGTACAAGCAAGGGTACAAGCAAGCTATGCTTGCAAAGTATAGTGGAGTACAGTGTGGAGTGTATGATGATGCGCAATGTAAAATGCATTGGTGCATATCCCGGTGCATCATCGATACTGGCATTGCAGTGCATGCATAGGGTAGCGCAGGTTCGGTGGCTGGGGAAAACACTTCACAATTCCCGTACCTGCCTCTAAATGGTCAACAAGCTTTTCCGCCACCTCTTCTGGCTGTTTGATTTTAGACGTTTCCTCCAGAATTTCAGTAAGCTGTGCGCAGTTACAACCTTTGAACTATTACACAGGTAAAAACAAACAATGCTTCTTCTATGAATTCTCCACAAAGCAATGGCTCAACGCTAATGTAGGTAATGATGTAACGGATACCGCGGGCTTAGGGTTTAGGAGACCCGTTATTGTTCCGTGTTCCTTGAACATACTCGGTGACGAACTTGTTTTTCCCTTTCGTACCCCGGTGTGTTTACACTGGGGAGAAAGGCGTTAGCGACGAGCACATCCATGCCAGCTACTTCCTGATTGATTACTTCTGCGAATGCTCTGAGTGCTGACTTGGTGGCGCTGTATGTCGAGAAGCCGTAAATTGGCACGAATGCAGCGAGGCTGTTGGTGAAACAGATTGCCCCAAACTTGCGCTTCAACATGCTAGGCAGGATGTGTTTGACTTGCAAGAACGGTGTACTGATATTCATCGCAACCGTCTTCTGTATATTGCTGTTCCCCAAAGCACAGAAAGGACGAGGGTCTACGTCAGCTGCGTTGCAGAAAAACACTTCTATAGGGACATCCGCCTCCTCCTGCTTTTCATCCTGATTCCTTCGGGCTGCTGAGTCCCTCTTCGAGCCCTAAAATATAAGAGAAGCGTTTGGCAAGCCCGAAAATCAAAATGAAGCAAGCAACGACGGCGTAGCATGCAACTAGGTAAGTTGCAGCTGCCTTGATGCAATAGGTGCGTACACATGCGTCTTTAACTCATCAGCATAAATACGCACGCATATAGACGCCATGAACAGAAGTGGAGACACCTGCATTATCTGTAAAGAAATTCGGAAAGTTTGGTATTACCTTCAAGGCAACTGCGCGATCAAGACATTCAATGGCCGCCGTGGGGTCCACCAAATCTGCAGAAACGGTTTGAACGGTAACGGCTAATCCGAGTTCGTCTGCAATCTCCACGCATTTGTTTTGTGCTTCTTGGAGTGCACTGGCGTCGCGGGCAACCAGTGTGACCAGTTTCGCTCCTTTTTTTACTGCTTCTCTAGCTATGGCATATCCAATCCCTTTGGAACCGCCCGTTATCAAAACATGCCTTCCTTTCAGGGAGAAGGGGGCCTTAGCATCGGCCAACTCTGGGTTCGATAGGCGGGCAGAGCGGCTGAGGAACAACTGGGCCACGTAGAGAAGTATGATGCATCCGATTACAACAAAGTAGGCTGCGATGATTCCTAACACACCAATTGAATAGGCAAGCAGAGGGAACAAGAAGAACACCCCGCCCATGCAGATAATCCCCTCCATGCTTCCAACTCGTGGAATATACCACGTATTTTTCACCGCCATTTGCATGCATCAAAGTGTATGCATAGAGGAAAAAAACAGATACAGAACCACGCCTGCGCTTGCTGCTACAGGGTCGCTGCACGTCGGCGACAGTGGTGCAGTTGGCACCTTATTGCCGAGCAGTACAACAAGTACAACAGAGGGAATTTAAATAAATGGACCAAGTGATTGTCGAAAAGCAACCTGAGGGATAAATGTGCAGAATCCCTTGCGTAACACCTGGCCGGTGTCTTGGATAAACGATGGGAGGTGCTGTGGGATCTAAGACGCGGGCGTGTTTGTTGATGTATAAGTTACGCCGCTAAATAAAGATCTTCAACAAGACAGAGAGAGCATGCTCTTGTTTCCAGGAGGCTGCAAGACGTTGTTGCATCCTGGCACCTCCAATGCGGATTGCTCAGGGCTTGGCAGGCGAGTGTCGGCCGCAGCATTATTTTCAACAGCGAGAAAAACTAATTCGAGAGACTCACTTTTCCTGTTTTTCCTATCCAGAGATTTACTGCATATGTTTCTTCTATGCCTGAAGTTGCCACCTCTAGCACAGCACCGTAGCTTGCAGTGGCATGCTTCGACTTCGTGGTCTGCAGCAGTAGATGGCGGACCAGCGGTTAGTCCTTCTCCCACATCTCCCCCTTTAGTAGCGTCGGACTTATCTTCTTCTGGCGTTAACTCTCCCAAACGTTCCCCCAACTGTGTTTCTTCACCCGTTTTCTTCCTAACTTCGACAGAAGTTGAGTGACCTGGGGTGCTGCAGGGTCCGCTTTTATGCGGGATTGCTTATTGCACACCTTAGCTACGCTCCATAAAGACTGATATTCTCATGTATATTAACGTTTCTACGCTGCCACGGGAAGGTACACTAGGCTGCACTGGTTAGCCACTCCCCCAACCCTTGCAGTAGAGTCCACCTGTGAGCTGCCGCAGCCACTCTCTCTGGCTGTTGCATTTCATTGTGTGCAGCGTAACTCTTCACGCAACATACGTCTTCTGATTTATATTAGAGGGGGTGCGGTGGCTGGATCTGAGGCACTCTGTGGTACGGGCTGTATCGCCTGTTCTGGACGCAGTCGATGCATGCAGCCTCCCCACTGAAGGCAACTGCTTAGCAATTCGTTTCAGTGTTAATGCATGCAGCAGAGGTGCAGAAAGGCGCCTTTGCAAGCCCTGGGTGATTGGCACTACCCCCCTCTGCCGCTGGTGCCAAAGTGCCTGGAGTGTGACAGGTGCGGTGAGTCGCTTGGGCTGGTGAGTTCCTACATTCACTACTTTGACTCATCTGCAGCTCACGGCAATTCTTCGCCAAGGTTGAGGACTGCGGTTCCCTGGTTACACCTCATTCATGGATGAGAGGGGAAGATGGCAACTCCGAACCCCACTCACACGAACGCTGCGTGGTGTACGTAACACTGAAGATGCTTGGGCCGACAGCAGGAAAAAATTTCCTATGCAGAATCGAAAAAAAACCTGCCTGATCTGCCTTCTCCCGAGCCAGGACATCTTCAATCGGCTCCCATTAATATGTGTATCAAAGAAGTCACAGGCCAAGTATAAAAGTGCAATAATGAAACGGTCGACAGCAGACAGGGTAAGTTGTTATCCCCCCTTGAAGCGCTAAATGATCTAAATCTTCGACTGCGCATCACAGGAATCCTCATGCTGGCTGTCGGACCGCATGTAGAAGATAACTGCACTTGCACATTACGCTTCGAAAATATTCAGTGCGAATGCCGACCCCTGTACCCACTAGACGGGTAGATTCCGGGGCATAGAGATATATGTTAAAATGAGCCCAATTAGTCAATATATAGCGCAGCGAACAGTTGCCCATGAGTGCTTCACTGCACCAGACACCAAAAAACGCAAAGCACAGAGACCAGCTGCTGTGCTTGCGGCATGTTATACAAACCAAATCGCGCGTATCCCTGTGTGGCGCAGGGCTGCAGCAGCAGCCCCGCAACACTACCAAAGCATCAATGTCAGCTGCGTTGCTTCGGCAAAACAGCCGAAGTGCCAGTTGCGGGACAGTCGGATACCACAAGGGGACGCCAGGGGTATCTGCTTTTAAAGGTCAAGGCCTTTCATTGTTGCATACACCCGGGGCATTTCAAACAAAGCCATCTCCTGAGGCGAACACGCCCACCAAATGCGCTCTACTGAGGACAAGCGTAGGCTGCAACTCCGGAACCACTCGCGAGAAACCTAGTAAGATTGACTACAGAGGCAACCCCTAGAAAGTGCTCTCACTTACACTGTGAAGTGACAGGCGGGCGTTGGTGGCGCCTGCAAGCATGAGGGCCTCCTCAACCTTTTGTCTCTCTACATTACATCCAAATAGCCCTAATCGTTTCAGCTGCTTCCCTGCACCAGAAAAGGCACGGACTCAAAGTGCATCTAGTGAGTTACGAAGGTGCCCATGCAACTACAACAGGCAGGGACAAAGCCAAGTAGGTAACCTAGGCATGTAAACTCATATGGAACACACAAGGTGTGACGACAGCACGGCAGAAACTCGGAAATCCACGTGTGCCCACAACGAACACCACTATCCACTGCATCGAGAATCATTGGACAGTCAGCAACAGTCTCAATGCAGCAGTTGGCAGACAAGATAATATCTTGCCGCAACCGTATCTGCATTTGCAGCTCCCGCTCGGCCACTGGACTAGCCAAAGTTGGGGAATCACCTGAAGCGACCGTGAAGTGAGCGTCGCAGAAGGCTGAGGTGACTCTCCAGCAATGCGAGACGTCAAGAAAACGAAGGAGAGGCAGTTCAGCCAACAGGTGCGCCAGCAGGTTATCATCAATCGCTCTGCAGCAGCAATGAAAGCAATATTCAAAAATGCGTTGGCACAAAAACCAGATGCAGTATGAAGGTGAAAACGTCGGGAGGTGCCACAACAACCGCAACATCACACCTACGCCGTGTGGCTGAGCTTGAGGCGGGAAATTGACGGCAGCGAAAGTGCGAGGCGAAAAAGGCAGTCTCGAGATACCGGCCCCGTGCATGAAAGATCCAGCATCTGTAACTTTGGGCAGCCGTCCACAACAACTGACACGGTTGCCGTTGTTACTGCAGTGTCTGCACACCCCAGAATGAAGGCAAAACACCCATATGAGCGAACATACATGAATACAGAGATACTTGCCACAACCAAATGCAACGCTCATCTCACTGACAAGCGCTCTTAGCTGCGCTGGCCGGTGGATCTCACCTGCTAGGACAAGCACTTGCAGATTGTGTAACTCAGCGAAAACGCGAGCTGAGGAGTCGTCAATTGCCGTCCCCCGTAGATCAAGAAATTCCTAAAACCCTCAACGCAAGCATGTGCTCCTGTATGGTTAGCCTCAGTGCATCAGCAGCTGTAGCACCCCGATGCAGCAGGACGCACTAGATGATTCGTCGATATCAGGCACCCCATGCTAAAAACGCCTTACTAGTGTAGCTTTTGCGTTGGCCAGTACAGTGAAGTCCTTCATTTCGCTACAACGGGAGAGAGACAAAAACTTAATGGGGGATATGCAGACGTCTTCTGCCTGCTCCACGAAAGGTTTTAGCATTTGCGCTTGCCCTGGCTGCTGGGGAAGCTGTTGCCGCTGCTGCTGCTGCTTCTGTTGCTGGTATTCTTGCCTCTGTGGTGTCAAGAGGGCCTTGAGGGAACGGCAGGTCAGCCGGCAGCACCCGCGGGCGCCAGCTGTTAGCCCCAATGCCACTCGTTCTAGCCGAGGAAGGAAACCTAGTGTTAAAAGCGCTTCATCTGTCAGTGAGAACGAATCACGAAGATCTACACACCGAAGGTCGCGCAGTCTGGCTCCGCAAAAAAGGCACAGAGATGCAATCAGCCTCGAAATTAAAGCAGGCACCTGCGGTTGCAGCGGATGTTGCATCAACACAAACAGTAGCAGATGGAACCTTCATGTCAGATGAGCAGTTTTGCCGACCTGAGAAGAAGTGTCCTGAGGCTCTTGTCAGTAAGTCTGTTGCACCGACGCATCACCAAGACCTGGAGCTTCTGAGGCAAGGCACTGCTGCGAGCTCTGGAAAGCCGGTCCATTTGAGAGGCACTCAAGCCACCCCCAGCAGTAATCTCCAGCAGACGCAGACTCGGCGAGCTGCAATAGATGCAAGCAGCGGCAAGCTCAACAGCCGTCACTGTTCCACGAGAGAACGCCTGGAGCAAGAACGGCATTGAGGCCTAGAACACTGTAGAGGATATTTAACGCTCTAAAAAAATACTGAAACCCCCTGATTTTTAATTCCCTGTGTTCTCACAGGGTCCCTCAACCCTAATGGTGACTCAGAATCCTTTCAGTCTGTTCCTAAACTGTTTAGGCGCTTGAGCTAACCTCATTATCGCCCGTATGAGCGCCTCTGCAGAGGAAGCTGTCGAAGCTTCCCCAGAGAAACGCAGTACCCGCCTTTGGCGGCGTATGAGGCCAGCAAAGCGACGACACGCTGCAGCAACAAACGGAACAGCACGTAAAGTGAGCCGTAGCTACAACACCTCTCCCAAGCACTCAGACGCTCCCAAGAATTCACAGACGTGCCGCATGAAGTAGCTGCAGGAGCACTAATAGCAGCAGCAATAGCAGACGAATCAGCACACGCAACATGACGCAAGAGTAGCTGTAGTAGCCACAGCATCAACGGGAGAATCACGGAGAATCACGGGAATCAACAGCTCACTCATTGCAATCTCCCTCCCGCCGAAGTCAAGCACTTGCAGCACCAACGGGTCGGGCAGATCTGCCCATCGCCTTGTATTAAGGACAACATCAGCACTTCTCGAACCAGCAGAAGATGCAGCAGCAGTACCAGGAGCCGCATCAGGACCTCCAGCTGAATGATTTGGTTTCCCTTCACCAACGCGCCCTTCTGGGGCACACTCTACACAGCCTGCGTTCCCTACTGTTGCGGACCCCGCTGTTGCTGGGACTTCCGCTGCAGCTCTGCTGCTCGTTGCCTTCGCCTGCTGAAAGGTTCCACCAGCAGCGGGGCTTGGCACTGGCTGTCCGCAGGCTGTTATCCCGACGGATTTACTGGTGCTGCTGGAAGCAACAGCTGCGGCAGCAGCCTGTGAAGATGCCGAAGATACTGCTGACCCGCCGCCTGTGCGGCGGGCTTTGCTGCAGAGGTTAGCAGAGCTGCAAGGTCTAAGGTACCGTTTAAGCTGCCAATCTACATCGCCAGCAGCAACTCTTGACCCCCAGGGCGCCATCCCTGGGCAAGGGTCAGAAGTATTCTTTGGCGGGTGAGCAAGTTCAGCTGATGTAGCTGCTGTGTCTATTGCTGGAGCATATACTGTGGACGCGTCAGTAGTTGTACACGGTCCTTGTAGTGCACAGCGGTACTTCGCTGCGACTAGGTATGTCTAGTCAGTACACCTGTTGTCTATTCATCATTCTCAATCGCGCACGTTCCCGTTAACCGGTTGTTAATTTCCCAAACATGTTCGAGTCTCTATTGTTAACTAGATAAAACCCAGAATAATAGATCTCCCCTGTAAAGACAATATGTCTGCTCGCAGAATAATAGAACTGCCACTCGACCCTTGCTGAGGGCCAGCTCCAGAGGAGTAACAGCAACTGCCTCACAACCAGCCCCGAGGTGGTGCCGGCTGGCGAGCACTCCGATCCTAATAAGCTTCCCTCCTATCTAGTAATGTCCTAATCTCTGAGATATTCGGTAGTATTTATTCCTCTTCATGATACTAGGCCTCTAGAGGCCACGCCAGAGATGCATTGTAGTGCCCCTGCACTACAACTTCCCCCCGTGAGCCGCCTCCCAGATTGTTTATCTCTCTTCTTCTCTAACCTCCATTTTCCCAATTGTCGCTGTCGGGATGTTTCATGTTACTGGAGTAGAGGGCCTACCTGCTGTAGTGTCGAGCTACGCTTTGTGCTTACTTTCACCTGCCACATCCTTTCCTATAGTGCATTCCAGTTTACTCTAAGCCACCCACTGTAAGTATCTCCATTCAAAAGGCTATTATTAGTATACCTGATGACTAATTTCCCTAACCCCGTGCTGTATTTATTTGTTCACAGCTACTTAGTGCGCATGCCTATAGTGTGGTATCATCCAACTGTGCGAGTGTCTGTCTTATCCTATGCTAAACTACTAACTATGTAGATGGCACGCTAACGCAGAACTGGTGCTCTAGAACTCCTCCCCCGTTTTCACAACACGCAGTACTAACAGCACGCCAGACAGCGCGTAGGTACGAGTCGCAACGGGCACAAGGACTGTGTGATACTCGTCAGGGCACTTGGACGGCGGCCCTGCTGGAAGGGCGTCGGGGAAGGCCTTCCAGAGTTTGGGAACACCTCGAGGGACACCTCACAGATAAGCAGTACCTCTGCAGTCACCGGTTCCAATTGAAAATATCTGAGTGGTGCCTCGGTCCTCGGTGACGCCAACGCATCACCCTCTGCTATTGTGATATAATGATCTTGGCTAGTTATCTGACAGACTGGGGGGGGACGAAATCCAATCCATGTGTAGAACAGCCCCCTTGGCTGCTCAGGGATGTGACATTATCCCCGTTGCCTTTCCTGCGTCCGGAGAAGCCAGTAGGCGGTACATTCCCTGCGTATGTCTGTCTTAGCCTGCTGAACTACAGAGGCAATCGATACCTTTGCTCCCACCCCCGCGTGGGCCCGGTACTGCTGAGGTGGTGGCTGTAGGATGGCCGCGACCTGGTCCGGCAACATGCCCGCCATGTGTCTAGTGATGATGTCGTATGCCTGCTTTGCTGGAGTCTTCTGGCGCAGTCCTTAGTGTGGCCCCCTTTTGTCCGAAATCTGTATTACTGAGCTACCGTTAGCCCACCTCACGTCGCATTCCCGTGGGTTCGCAACTTATCTGGCTGAGGATACCACTTCACTGTTTGAGTGGTCGACGGACCAAACCCTAACACAGCTTCACAAGGTGCAGGCCCCTTCAAGAAGTCTCCAGTGGAACGCTCGCGTCCACCCCACGTCGTCGATCTCATGACGACCCTATCAATGCGCATCTGCTCGCCAATGACCTACATAAACATCCACTCTTCTGAAGGTAGGTGCACGTTTAGCTGTAAACGATCAACTTTCTCCTGACTAATGAAACTCTTTGAGGCCGCTGTAACCATGAACCCTTAGCATTGGCTCGCAGCCACATCCGCCCTCTGGTGTTCGACAGATACTACCCTTGTGTTAAACTTGTACTGTGGCTCTTCGTTTCAACAGTTGGCTCCCTCAGTACTAAAACATGTGGTCGGCCGCCTACCCCTATTATCTATTACGCTCCGCGCCGATGTTGGCAGTCTCGAGCATAGTCATTCAGACCTCCACACGTCTTGCATTTCTCGCCTTCCCTCTGAGCCCTTGGGTCGGCCGTAGGGTAACTCCGGACAACATGCCCTTTACCCTTACACTCAAAACAGATGATGTCCCTTGTCACTCGCCGATCCCGTAGATTTTCCCGATCTCCATATCTTTGCGTTTCATCAGACACATCTCGCACAGTCCGTCGTAGACCCTGTGAGGACAGTCTAGTTTGACGCAGATAATCTAAGGTCTTTTCTCTTCTCCTCACTGTCTTCTCCAGCTCAGCGGCAGCCTCTCCCTCGACTGTGAACTTCTTTTGGCCTTCCTTTGTCACTCTTAGAGTGACACCGTCAGGCAAGTTAGCTAGGAAAATGGCCACTAGGTGATCGGGTGGGAAAGGTTCTCCCTGACACAGGACCGCTGAAAAGCTGGAGGCATACTGTACAGCACTACCCTGCCACCTGACTCTAGATAAGCGCCAAAAGGTTACATTTTGGGGAATCCCACAGAATCTAGTGAACATAGAGCGTTTGACACGTTCCCAATCCTTCATATCTGCCTTAGTATCCCACAGGTAGAACCAGTATCGTAGAGCATCCCCGGTCAAGTACTCGCGCAGTTCGTATCCCCAGTGTTGGTGAGGTAAACCGATCTCCACAAAACAACATTTCCATATGACGAAGGAAGTACATCATATTTATTCCATTGGCATTAGGAATGTGAAAATCAGCCCTTCGGAGAAAGTCCACCCTAGGTGTTTTCGGCTCCTGGTTATCATTTATTGCAGTCTGCAATGGAATTTCCGTGTCAGATATGGACCCCACTGTCCTTCCCACAAGACGTGCTCCCGTTCCTAACTGGCTCCTCACGCCATCGCCCCTAGCTCTTCAGTTGTGATGCAGCTGATTCCCATTAACCGTTCCACTACAGAATGGTTGGGATAGTGAGATAAACATTTAAGAGAGAGGTCCCTGGGTAAAACATATGTATATAATATCCCTGAACAGCCCCCAAATGTAGTACGCAGCAGTCCTAAGCTGTGCCTACTGATATCATCTTGTACCATCGGGCTTCCCAACTACATCCTCTAGCTACTCACATTCCCAGAAGTCAATAATTAAATTTCCAAAACATGTTCGAGTCTCTGTTATAGACAAGGGAAGTTCCCAGAATACCAGAACTGACTCACTAGAATAATCAGAACTGACCCCCCAGTCTTCACCGAGGATCAGTGCCTGATAAAAAAGAGGGGAAATAACGACAACACAGTCAGGTGTCTGACCTATAAAGCTTCCATCTACATAAAAATTCCATAATCACAGCTATAATAAATAGTTTTTATTCCTCGTCCATTTATTAGATCTCTAGAAGTCATCTCTGGGATCCAAAGTAGTGTCTAAGCACTGCATTACACGGCAAGCGCGGATAGCTAGCACACTGACCCTACTAAGCTATGACTCTATCTAACGGTAACCTAATCCCTAAATTATTCAACAATATTTATTTTTTTTAATGACCTAAAGCCGCTAGATGTCACACCTGGGACACGTTGTAGTGCTTCTGCACTACACACCATGTACCACCCACCAGCTGAGGCACAACTCCTCACCCACCACCGGTCAGCCCCAAGGGGCCAATTCCCCTGATATAGGCTGGAAAAGGCCAAAATATGCCTGGATTGATTAACTTGAAATGAAATGAAGCACTGTGGGGCTCGGTTTTAACCCTTTCATGCTTAACATTTGTTCCCCCAGAGCGACTGCAACGGGAACGACCGCGTTGAGGCTCACCCCCTCTTTGCACTGTTCTCTGGAGATGAATCCTTAGTTTTTGTGCTTCATCGGAGCAGAACGTAGTATTCTGTCAATCACCCGAGGCTGGGGTTCGTTATTTTTCACCCCACATCGGCTCCCGTGTGCTCAATAACCCTTGCTGCTACCCGTTGTAGAACTCGATACCTCTTACAATGGAGCAAGACGGCGAGTCAGGCCCACGCCTGGCTTGGCGCAGTGTTAGGAATGAAGACTTGCCGCCAAAAGGAATCTCTGCTGTGGTCCGCTTCCCTTCTGAAGGGCCAGCAGATGCAGCGAAACGGCATATTCTTTCCGATTTCTTAACTTTTAATGGAACGGCTACCATCCTTGCTCACCGCTTGTTGCCTTCTCAGACAGTACAAGCAGTGAATACGGCGGCAGCCAAGGTAGATCTTGAGAGCTGCAAGGTGTCGGTTACAGCAGCATCAGCAGCTAACAGCGGAGTGACGGCCTTGGCCGCAGCAGAGGCTGACGCAGCTGACGCGCCTCTGCAACTTTTCGTTGGTCTGGCTAATGGACAGCTGTGGCACATGGAAATAAAACAGCAACAGGACCGTCAAAACAGCGAGCAATGCGCAGAAAAACAGCTACCTCGCCGACTCTCTGTCGCCTCGAAGCAGCTGTTGTACTGTCGGATGGCCGAACCAGTTGACATGGCTTGCTGTTATGTCCAAGGAGAAGACATGGCAACATCAGCTGTACGCCAGGAGAATCAGAAAAGGAGCATCAAATACACCATGATGCTAATTGCGTTGTACAGCGATGGCGTTGCCGTTGTCTCGTGGCCAGAAACTGGTCACACGACAGAGATCCTGTGAGTCGTCCTCTGTCCCCTTACTGAGCCATGCACACAGTATAAATTGTTGCTTGTTTTTCTCTGTAATGTTTTTCATATAGCAGGGCGACTTGCGTCTTTTGGAAACGTTGATTGTTCTGCAGTCCTGTCGATGGAGCCTGTCGTCTCACACTGTCAGCCCAAGGCTACCGCCTGGCTATCAGCACCCGAAAGCGGCGCCTAGTTTTGCTGGAACGAAATGGGCGGGAATTCACAGTCGTAAAGGACTTTTCACCGCTTAAACTTGCAGGCCCCGCTGACCCGGCGGTCCAACCAACATGGTGTGCCCACGCGCATTTTACCCCCTATACAGTTTTGTCCTTTCCTAGTCCCTGTTGCTCAGCGCATTGGCTTCTTTTTTCAACGTTTTCGTCTTTCGATCGTTGCGTGGTTGACAACAGGATTGGGGAAGAAAAGCTGCTACTTCCAGGGGCCCCACAGCTGAGGAGCTCGTGCAAGGCGAATGCGTGGGAGGAGGCAAAGGAGGTCCCAGCTCTGAGGGAAGCCGACGCCCCATCCCACTTGGCTTTACTGCAGCACTGTGGTTCTGTTGTCGGAGAAAAAGCGCTTGATGTATCAGGAGAGTCCGGTGGAGCGCCAGTCGTTTGCGGTGTATCGGCGATCGGGGAACTAAGCATTTGGAGGATGCAACAAAAAAGACCACTTGTCATGATACAAAGTACAGCCGCCGTCCTTTATTTGCCCTATTCCTATTGTCTCTTTATTTCGTCTGTTCGTTGGTAGACTCACCTGCGGAGAGACTGGAGGCACGCAACCTCACAGTGCACAGACAGGGATGTATTTACATTTGCATGTGCATTTGTGTGTATAGTTCCGTGTTGTTGCAACTAAAGGCACTGCAAATACAAGTTGTAAATGTATTTGTGCTCTACTGTTTATGTCTACGCTGTCCGTACTTGCCGTTTGTCTTCAGTTGGCGGGACTGCTCAACTTAGGAGTATTTGTTGCCTGGCCACCAACTCCTCCCTGGCCCCGTTGGTGCTGTTGCGAGACGATGGTTATTTGGGCATTCTTATTTTATGCCCGGAGGATATGCAAGCTGCCAATCAGGCGTCAGCCTCATTTGTGCATAGAGATAAACTTGACGCAAAGGAGCAAACCACGCACAACCCTCAAAAACCTACGGTTGGAGATGCAGAGGGTGAGGACGCGACGAGTAAGCAAATGCACGGAAGACTTCGCTGATCAAGTCAGGAAGCATAGTGTGTGACAAATACGGAAGCTCGGGTTTAGTATTCTTAGTGACGGGCAGATCATCTGACGCAGTTGCCACCGTTTCAGACGAAGTACACACAGAAAGCAGCATTAGTTCGCTTCTTCGTTCTGTTCTCCTGCCCACAGAAAGTGCGACTTCTGCGAGGTCCTTTAAAGACTTTTTGAGTCGGGAAGCGGCAGAAGCTTCGGCCGACGAAACGGAAAGTGAAGCGCAGGAAAATGACCTGTTCAATGGGATGGACCCTGAGGAAAGAAGTAAGCGAGCAGCCGAGGTGGTCGCGTCTGTGTGCATGTGGGCATGCATGAACATATACCAACTAATAGAATAGGGGCTGTAGGGAACTCAACCTGGCGAGTCTATCAAGCATGTGCTGTTTGTTTCCGATGGGCTTTTATCTGCACCGGATTGACTATTTGTTGGCATGAATTAAAGCAGAGCACAGCACTCATTAAGAGCAAGCTTTACTGTGGGTGAAACACGTGATTTTAACATCAAGAAAAGAGAATTTCACGAGCAGAAGTGCTCCATTCCCCTGCTCTTTGAACGCTGGTGCAGCCCCCCCTAAGAAACGCGCTCATAAGCACCGCAGACGACCTCCATCGGGAGCAGGAGAGGAGAGCCAAAGTAGCGATACGGATTCGGGCGGCTCCCGGCGGGCCTCCTTTGACGGCGAGGGAGTATATGCTGGCGGTACTGAAGTCTTTGCCTCCAGCCTCACTGCGCTGCAGTCGGAGTTGCAGGAGGCTCAGGCGATGCTGAATGCGTTGATCAAGAAGCAGCACGCAACCAAGCAGAGGCTCATCCATCCAGGCGGTGGGCCCCAGCCAAAAGATCCGGGGAAACCCTGGTGCGACGGAGATGCACCAAACAGCCTTAGCCTCCGTTTGTTGGAACGTTTTTGTATTGATTAGGACTACACAGCTGATGGGCGCCATTCAATTGCACCGAGGCTATGCACCTTTATGTGCCCTCATACGCCTAGATGTTCGGTAGAATGCTGTTCTCTGCTGTTCCCTGGTTGGTGCAGCGTACACTGTTGGCGTCGGATATATATTCTAAAAGTAATCGCTTCTCTACTCGTGGCCTTCGCAGGTGCTTGTATTGGACGCATTTCGGCCACATCACCAAAACTGTGACGGCGGAAAACTCCGTTCTTGATGTCTTTAATTTTTCTCCTGGGGCAGTTGCTGAGGGAACGGCGCACAGAAAGCTTGCAGATCTGCATAATTCCTCTGCCGCTGCTCTTTGTGAGTGCCGAGGAGTTGTTAATTTTATAGAAGGGTTGCTCCCCGCTGCTTCTGCATACAGTGCCAGTGGCCTGCTGCCCAACGGACACTAGCATCTGCTGTTTTCTGCAGGCAGAGCTGGCGTTGTCTTGGCCGCTTCAGGATCATCTCGCAGTGTCATGGAGTTTCGGTGAGTTGCTCTTTACCGTGTTCGAAAACAGTACAAAGCCATTTCACGTTTAAGATTCTGTTGATGTATCATGCGTACCCAATGCCTCCAGTATGCCACGAATTGGTTCATATGATCGGTTCGCTCTTGTGTACACTCTCCTTCAGCTGCTTTTTGGATGCTGGGTCATGGGTAAAGCACTTCACTGAGGGAGAGACGATTGTTGCAGTAGCTGCCGGAGACTCATTCGTTGCCGCAGTAACTGAAGACAGGTATGTCTCTAGCTTCTGCACTGGATACATCGAACGCCCTGTGAAATGCACCCTGTTAAATGTCGCCTAGTGCATTAGAGGCATAAAATCACCACCTACTGGTAGTTTTCAAGCACCACTGCAGTGATGATGGAGCGTACGGGGAACATAAGAGGGAAGCAGCAGGCGGTCTACTTTCAGATACTCCCTTTCCACAGTAACAGGTGCAAGCATCTTTCTCTCTGCATTGCTTCAGGACGCTGCGCATATTCACATTAGGGGGGGTGCTGTTATACACGGCCGACGTGTTTGGTAGGCCTGTTTCGCTGTGTGGCTCCCAGCAGTTATTGGTTGTTGTGACACAAACAGGGTTTAGCGAGGGATTTTTGCAGCTGCACTGCTCCGTCTTGCACGTGCATCCGAGCCCTTCTTGCCCCAATGCAAGCTTTCGCTTGCCAATTTCTTGCTCCAAGCGGAGGCTAGCGGCTCCCCCCGCCGCTGCTGCCTCTATGCCGGATGTCGACATAATCCACGAAGGTGATAATGGTGGCAGTTGTCTTTCCACATGGCAGTGCAGAGACGCAGGAGCCCAGCAGCAATTGAGCCAAGATAAGTACATGGGAACACTGCATGCTTCCTTTGGCATTGATGTATTGATGCAGGCTTCTTTGATCTGGAATCACCACTTGACTGGATTGGCGTTTCCCCAGGAGGAATGCCAGCAATAAAGGACGTTTCAGGCAAGTCGGGTGCCACATCCTGCTTAATTCGCAAAGAGTGACTACACTCAACCATACATTGCATTTCTTGACGGCACATGGTGGGAACGTGGTGAACCTGATGGTTAAGCAGTGTTTGTGGAAGGCTGCGTCGGAAGCGACTACTGGGCGATATTTTGTTTCCTTACGGGTCATCTTGCTGACGCAGGAGTTGTGCGAGGTTTGTTGCCTGTTGGCTCCACGAATATAGGAGGATTGGGTTATGCTTTTAAGTGGGTGAAGCTTTGCTCGCTGGAGGAGGCCTCCGCAAACGCACCTCTCTTTCCAGTCGTCATCGACGAATCGAAAGTTAGTGAAGCCATGCAGAAGGATCCTCACCTGGTGTAGCATGCAGCATTTGATTGTGGTCCCTGTCATTTTGTCTTTGTGACACGCAAATGCCTTCGTTTTTTCTATTCGCAGGGGGAGCTAGGTGTCGTACGGCTGAAGGCAGGAGAAGAAGGCCTTTCTTTTCCTGACTGTTCCGTTTCCGAAGCCTTCTTTGGATACACGATGGAGCATATTCCCCTTCGCATACCATCGCCTGATCTGTGGAGCTATCCCCGGTGGCAGAGGCTTCTGCGCCATGACAAGCAGCTGAAAGGCGTTGGTGACGGGGGGGGAGATGCCGCTCTGGTGCCCTGGCCTCAGTATGACGAATTGCGGCTGCAACAAGAAATGGCCATTAGGCAATTGAATCACTTCGTTAGCATTTGTGGGGGATCGGCGGTCGGTGGCGCCGAAGGGGATGCTGAGGCCAGGGAAGCTCAGAGAAAGCTGCACCTTCTTAGCAAGCGGCACGATAAATTTTGCTTGCGAGGTTTTGCCAAGTGCACAGACGACAAACGGGTAAGGAGGCCAGAAACTGAACTGATATTTGAACAATTCATGTCAACTTCCTTCTAATGGCGTGGTGCGCATAAACTCTCTCTGCTTTCTCATCATGAAGTGTATTCGCTTAGATTTCCCATCTATGATTAACAACGCTGCCACGAAATAGAAATTCTGACTTTTCATCAGTGTAGGCTCATCTGTGCATCCTCCGGAATCAATTTACAGTGTGAGGCTGGTGTGCGAGCTTCGTCAGCGCATCTTCGTTGTGCGGACGTTGCAGCTGCATGGCGTGGCCAAGGACATGGCACTGAGGCTTAAGACAGAAAATGCCCCCCAGCACGCTCGTTCCCTCCTGGACAATGATACGCGCCTCCAAACAGAGTAGGCCCGTCGTGTATATATATATATATATATATAT